AAGAACTCTACCAGGGACCTCTTACAGCTGATTAACACCTTCAGCAAAGTGGCAGGTTACAAGATCAACTCAAGAAAGTCAGTAGCCCTACTATATACAGATGATAAAAGGGCTGAAAGAGAAATCAGAGAAACATCACCCTTTACAATTGCCACAAACAACATAAAATACCTTGGGGTAACGCTAACCAAACAAGTGAAAGACCTGTATCGCAAGAACTTTGAATCTTTAAAGAAAGAAATTAAAGAAGCCCTCAGAAAATGGAAAGATCTCCCATGCTCTTGGATAGGTAGGATCAATGTAGTAAAAATGGCAATCCTGCCAAAAGTAATCTACAGATTCAATGCTATCCCCATTAAAATCCCAGCACAATTCTTCACAGACCTTGAAAGAACAATAATCAATTTTGTATGGAAAAACAAAAGACCCAGGATAGCCAAAACAACCCTGTTCAACAAGGCAACGTCCGGAGGCATTACTATCCCTGACCTCAAACTCTATTATAGAGCTATAGTCCTGAAAACAGCTTGGTATTGGCACAAAAATAGACAGGCAGACCAATGGAATCGAATTGAAAATCCGGGTATTAACCCACACACGTACGAACATCTGATCTTTGACAAAGAAGCTAAAAATATACAATGGAATAAAGAAAGCATCTTCAACAAATGGTGCTGGCATAATTGGAGACTGGCATGTAGAAGAATGCGGATCGATCCATGTTTATCGCCATGCACAAAACTTAAGTCCAAATGGATCAAAGACCTCAACATAAATCCAGCCACACTGAACCTCTTAGAAGAGAAAGTGGGTGGTACCCTTGAACGAATTGGTACAGGAGACAGCTTCCTGAACATAACACCAGTAGCACAGACAGTGAGATCAACAATTAATAAATGGGACCTACTGAAACTGAGAAGCTTCTGTAAGGCAAAGGACACAGTCAGCAAGACAAAAAGGCAGCCCACAGAATGGGAAAAATATTCACTAATCCCACATCTGACAGAGGGTTGATCTCCAAAATTTACAAAGAACTCAAGAAGCAAGTCTCCAAAACAGCAAAGGACCCAATTAAGAAGTGGGCTGCAGAACTAAATAGAGAGTTTTCAATAGAGGAGTCTAAAATGGCTGAGAGGCACTTGAGAAAGTGCTCAACATCCTTAGCCATCCGGGAAATGCAAATCAAAGCAACTCTGAGATACCATCTCACTCCTGTCAGAATGGCTAAAATCAAAAACACCAATGACAATTTATGCTGGAGAGGATGTGGTGAAAGGGGGACACTCCTCCATTGCTGGTGGGAGTGCCAACTGGTTCAGCCACTTTGGAAATCAGTATGGAGATTCCTCAGAAAAATGGGAATAAACCTACCACAAGACCCAGCAACTGCACTCTTAGGCATATATCCAAAAGATGCCCATTCATATAACAAAGATGTCTGTTCCACTATGTTCATAGCAGCTTTATTTGTAATAGCCAGAACTTGGAAGCAACCTAGATGTCCCTCACCCGAAGAATGGATAGAGAAAATGTGGTACATCTACACAATGGAGTACTATTCAGCAGAAAAAAATAATGGAATCATGAGATTCGCAGGCAAATGGATGACACTAGAAGAAACCATCCTGAGTGAGGTAACCCAGTCACAAAAAGAGAAACATGGCATGTACTCTCTCATATATGGATTTTAGACATAGATCTGGGGAGTGCCAGCCTACAATCCTATTGCCAGAGAGTCTGGGAAACAGAAACTTCATTTACTGGCTGGTTAAGTACTGAGCTGAACTCAAGAAAGCCAGTATCAGAGAGGGAGGACTGATGATCAAAGGGATTAAGACTGGGCTGGTTGAACCCCCAGAAACAGCTGACCAGACAAAGGTTAACTCTTGAATCCCAGGCATCAGCCTGGGAATCCAGCATGGGACTGATCAAGACCCCCTGAATCTGGGTGTCAGTGAGAAGGCCTAGGTAATCTATTGAGCCTTGGACAGCAGATCAGTACCCATCCCAAGTATACACACAGTCTCTGGACTCCCATAGAACAATGTGAGGTGCACTCTCACCCTGAACTCTTGGGGAAGGGTCTAGGCCCTGCCCTATATGAAATGACAGACTATGGACACCCCCATGGAGGGCCTCACCCTCCCTGGGGGAATGAGGGGATAACGGGGGGGGGGATAGGGGGGAGGGCACGGGAGGAGGGGAGGGAAAGGGAGAGGGACCTCGTACTGACTTGTGAAGCAACCTTGTTTCTTATCTAAATTTAAAATGGAAAATAAAAAAATATTAATAAAAAATAAAAAGAAAACATATCTGGAGAAACATAAGAAAATACTTAAAAAACCTGCACTCTATCAAATTGGAAATATAAAAGAAATAGACAATTTTCTTGAAATGTACCACCTACCAAAGTAATTCCAAGAACAGATAGGCAATTTTAGTGGATTTACAACCCCTACTGAAATAGAAGAAATAATGAAAAGTTTCCTAACCAAAAGAAGCCTAGGGTCAGATGATTTTAAAACAAAATTCTATCAGACTTTCATAGAAGAGTAAGGTCAACATTCCTCAGATTATTCCATAAATAAAAACAGAAGGGACACTGACCAATTCACTTTTAGAGGCCAAAGTTACCCTTGGTTCCCATCATTGGTTGCATGAATTTCCACATAGAATGACAAAAGTTTAAAAGGAATTTTTAGAAACAAAAGAACAGAGACAAGCTTCTTGGTGGCAGCAGTTTCTTCGGCGGGCTGTTTTCCTAGAGACAAGCAGAGACTTGTGCGGTAAACTTACACCCACCATGTTGGAAAGCCAGTGGCTAGAACAGTTACCACTTTAATTTTAACAATGTTGTTTAGCATATAAAAGACATGTGGCCAGAAAAGCATAAAGATTTTCAGTAAAGTCAGATTCAGATGAAGGAAAACCTTTAAAAGGTTTACAGTGTGTTTAAAAATATACGTAGGCTTGGGAGAGAAAAAGAAACAGGAGAAACAGGATAGTGGTAAAAGAAGTAGAGAAACCTGACTGTGTTGGCAGATGCCTTTAATCCCAGCACTCTGGAGGCAGAGGCAAGCAGATCTCCGTGATTTTAAGAACAGCCTCGTGTACAGAGGGAGTTCAAGGGCAGCCAATGTACACAGAGAACCCCTGACTCTAAAAAGTAAAATTAAAAGATATAGAGTGATAAAAGCCACATAAAGATGGAAAATACACAGACAGTCTGGATATTGTATGTTATTGTGTTGTCATTCAGTTGTTCAATTGCTAAGGAACAACAACTGCTAAAATATACTTGATTATAATGCTGCTAAATTAATCCAACTTACATATTTTAAAAATGCTTTGACTTCTAAATTTAAATATAATGGCAGGTTACTTGGGAAAAGAGTTTTTGCTTGTGTTTCGCAGAAAACGAAAAATTGTGGATTCCTTCCAGACTTCTACGGTTTCAGGAAGCAAGACCCCTGAAGCAGCACCCCAGATGATCCAACATCTAAAACTGAGATAATGCAGCCTCTCAGACTAAAACAACAAGGACTTAGACAGGTTTCTGTGTTTCTGTGTAATTGGATTTATGTTGAGGTCATTGATCAATTCAGAATTGAATTTTGTGCAGGGTGATAGATATTAATCTATTTGCATTCTTCTACTTGCTCCTATCCAGTTATGCCAGCACCATTTGTTGAATATACTTTCTTTTTTCTATTGTATACTTTTGGCTTCTTTGCCAAAAATCATGTATTAATAGGTATGTGGGATTTATGTCTGGTCTTCAGTTTGATTCCATTGATTCTTGTGTCTTTTTATGCCAATTCCAAACTGTTTTTGTTACTATAGTGGTGTATTAGAACTGGAAATCAGGGATGATGATACCTCAAGTCCAGAGAAGCTAGGTAACAAAGAGGATCCTAAGAAAGACACATGAATCTCTCTGGGAAGAGGAAATACATTAGATGTCTGGGGTAAACTAGGGGCAGGGAGAAGTACAGGGAAGGAGATGGGAGGTTGGGAACATGAAGGAATAGGATAGTCGAGTTGGTGAGTGGAATGAAGGGGGAGTAGAATTAAAGAGATATATTGAAAGAGGGGGGCCGTTATGGGGTTAGGAAGAAATCTGGTGCCAGGGAAGTCCAAGGATCCCATAAGGATGACCCAGCTAAGACTCCTAGCAATAGTGGAAAGGGTGCCTGAACCAGTTTTCACCTATAATCAAATTGGTGACTACCCTGATCATTATAATAGAGTCTTCACCCAGTACCTGATGGAAGCAGATGCAGAGATCCACAGCCAAGCTGTGTGTTAAGCTCCAGGAGCTCAGTTGAAGAGAGGGTGGAGGGATTATACGAGCAGACAGTTGAACTGAACATATGGGAGCTCATGGACTCTGAACTAATAGCTAGAGAGGTGGCATAGAACCATCCTAGGACCTCTTCATCTGGGTTACAGATGTGTAACCTGGTCTTGTGTGGGGAGCCTAGGGGTGGGACCAGGACCTGTCCCTGATGTATGAGCTGGCTCTTTGGAAGCTATTCCCTAAGGTGGGATGCCTTGTTTAGCCTTGATGCAGGAGGGAGGAGCTTGGACTTGCCTCAACTTGATATGTCATGTTTTGTTTACTCCCATGGGAGGCCTCACCCTATATGAATGGAGACAGGGGAGGAGTGAATGGGGAGGGTAGGAGGGAGGTACAGGGAGGGAACAGGAGGAGAGGAGGGAGGGGAAACTGTGAGTGGTATGTAAAATAAATTTTAAAAAGATGATTAAAAAATCAGAGAACTCCTTAGCTTCACCAAATCATCAGTCTAAATTTATAGACACGCAGGCCCAATGGTCAAAAGGCAAATAAGAACCTCTCAGGAGCTGAGAATTGGACAACTCTCTAATGGTAGGGACCAGAGACTGACAAGATACTTTAATGGCTGGCTTGCCAAAGTCACATGGGGGCACTAAGTTTCATTCCTGTATCTTTAAAAAACATAGGAAACAGAAGTGGATGAAGTAAAATTGATTGATTTATTAATAGCTTGCCCTATAAAGCAAACTCCAGGAAATCTGCATATGTTAACTCCACCATGAGACAAACAGAAAGAATATGAAGAGTCTCTTCCTTGAGCCAATTTCCTCTTCTGTCTGGCACAGATTCCTGAAGACATTTTCATTCATGGTGTCCATTGTCTCAAGAACCTGATAGCCAAAGGGAGAGGCAAGAGTGTCTCCCTTTAATATATAACTTCTTCTGTCAGGGTGATGGTTATAAAGGGTAAACTGAGGACAGGCACATGTTAATACATTATGCGGCCAGTCAGAGACACAGCCAGATGTGACACAGGTTTGCACAGAATCTGGGAAGGAGACTAGCAAGAGCTAGAGAAAAGGCAGAAAGATGGGACAACAGGAGACATTAAAGACAGCCAAGGGATGAGGGTAAGACAGGAACAAAGAAATACAGGTAAACCTGTGACAAAAGCAGGTGACAAGAGAAAACACTGAGGGCAGCCTGCCCCCAGAGATGTCCTTTTCTCCACCAGAATTATCTTAGCTTCTTGAGGCGAAGGTAAATCCCATCCTTGGACTTCATAACCACTCTCTGTATGGGTACTGGGACCCTGGTGGGATCAGGCAGCAGCTCAAAGCGGAGCAGAGTCAGGGCCACAGCCACCTTCAGCTCATTCATAGCAAACTGTTTCCCGATGCAGTTTCTGAACCAAGCAGAGACATAAAGAGAGATGTGCCCTCAGACATGTTCTGAGTACAGTGAGCATTGTTCCCTGAAACTCTGTCATGAAAGGTTTAGGGATCCCATACATGGTACCAGCATAATCATTTTCCTCATAGGTCACTTTACTAAGTAGTTGTCCTGCTTTGAAATCACACAAACACCTGAATCCCTTGTCCTTGTTCGTAGGTTCTTAACTTATAACAAAGTCCCTCACTCCTCTAGGGTACCTCTGACCCTAGTCCTGCTCTTGGTGTGTGAACTGTCATCTGAACAGTGCCAGCATTGGGGGGCATAGAGTCCAAGCACATGAGTTATTTAATAAGGCAATCATTAGTTAGCCAATTCCCTCCACTAACAGTTTCTGGATCTCCACTATGAATATCCTATTAGGAGCAATATGAGGAGGGGTACCTCATCTGAGGATTATCATCTATGCATAAAAAATGAATGCATTATAGAATGGGAGTCAAATACTGGTGGGAGAAGCTTCTAGTGAATACATCTGATTGAGAATTTTCAAGCTGTTCCTCCATCTTCCTCCCACTCAGTCGTCAGGCTCATCCCTCATCCCCTCAGACTGCCATCATCTGTAGCCATCTAGTCTGACTCCAGAAAAGCCCTTTTTTGCATTTTTGCCATCTTAGTCTTTTGTTCTCCACACTCTTCCTCTTATGACTCCATCAGGTAGAAGAGCATCCGGATGCCCCAGCCATTACCATGGTTAGTGTAGGATCTCTGGGTCACCTCCTCTTGTCTGTCCAGCCCACTTCCTGTTTCAGTGCATCTGCTGCAGTTGCCTGCAGTGCTTCTCTTTACCCTCACATCCACATACAAAGGAGTGAACTGAGCCAGCTCTATATCCTCTGTGGCTGCTCATCTCCAGGACTAGGCCACCGTTGGTGCTTCTTTCAAGGGTCCACCCCACCCCAAATCATAGGACAGCAAGGGATGTGTAATAAACTGTCCATGAGTGATGAATGAGTGTAATACAGGACTGACTCAAATACAGGTGTCTGACTACATACACTCCTGGTCTTGTTGCTGAGCTGGGATCAGAATTCTGCACTTCTGTATTCATGTTTCAGCAAGAGGTGTGGCAGGGAAACACAGTTTCAATTTTTTTTGCATCTGAATTAACTGAGTTGACTTTTTAAAATAAAACAATATGCACAGAGGATAAAGATTTCACAAGCTAGAAACAGCTACCCAAAAGTCTTCTGGCCTCCAAGGGCTGCATTTTTTTTAAGTGGTTAAGATAAAATTTGTACCCTGGGAAATAAACTCTGCCATATGCCTTCTTATCTTTCATTCTTTCTATTTATTTGTTTATTTATTTTATATCCTGACCACAGTTTCCCCTTGGAATGCCATGCATTAAGACTGTTCTGTGGGAGTTAATTCATTACATAGGCTTGTAATGTATTACAGAAGTAGTTCTTAGCTTTAATTTCTACACCTATATGATCTGTAGAGAAATTTAACTCATTTTGACAGATTGTGTCAAAACCTTAAGAAGTTTTAGGGAATTTATGTTCTATAGGCTGAGTCCTGTAGACTTTGTGGACAATAGCCACTGGTGTCCAACCCACAATAAACTGCGATATATATATCCTTAACAGAATAGCCCATAAAGTTTCTATAATTTTAAATATATCTCATTATAAGCTTAATATATATTTATTGCATATATACATACATATATATATTTATATATCAAGGATTCATAGGAGCATCCAACTATTGACTTAGTAAGAAAACCTGGGCTCTAATGAGAATTTTGGGGAAAAAAGAAATTCACCCTTTAAGATTATTGAAAACTAAAAGTTCCTGTTTAGAATAAAATTCTGAGATATAAAGTTCAGATTTTGTGAAAATACCAGGATATACTAATCTTCTATACACATGTTTCAGTGGCTACAGAACAGGGGGTTTAAATGCTCTGTGGTATACTGAATTGTCATCTTTCTTTTTGATCCATATATTCACAGACATCCACACAAGCAGATCACACAGGGACAGACATAAGCAATCCCAAATATAAAAGATTAATGTGCACCAGAGACTCCCTTCCCCCAACCTTTCCCATCACCTTGCTCCTCCTGAGAAGGGCAGGAAAGCATGGCTGTGCCGAGAAGAATCTGGTGCAAATCTCGATGGGTCAAACACCTGCAGAGAGAGCACAAGGGCTAGGATGGATGGCAGTCAAGCCCATTTCCAATGCAAAAGGAGACAGGGTGTCTAAAGTTGCAGTTGAGTAGCTCTTCTCTCTTCTCAGGGCCTTCCTACCTCAGGGTTTGGCCACAAACTTGGATTATGGTGAAGGCCATAAATGGAGATTGCAACTGTGATACCTGCGAAGGGAGAAGACATTGAGTGAAACATAATGAAGCCAAAGAAATGGGGCTCTAAACTCATATTCAGTAGGAGAGTGGCATGCACAATTGCCCTGCATATATGGAGTCAACACTTAGAGTTAATGATGCTATTGGGGATAGGGAACTTAGCACAGCACACACTAGAAAACCATGAACCCAGTGATGGTAGACAGCAGTGAAGTACTAGGAGTGGCCTGCTTCTAGTAAATGAGGCGACAGCACACATTCATCAAATGTCTTACATCTACCATTGAAGAGTATAAAGTAGCTCACATAACACTCACAAGTTCCTCCCCACCATCCCCAAAGCCACTGTTTTATGACCATTTTTCTATGAAAACTAAATTCTCAATGAAGCCTGTTATCTTTCTTATGTTTACACTGCTAGGATGTGGCAGAGGTGGGATCATTCCTAATGATGAGTTCACTAATATGTGTTTTCCTGTGGAGACATTGAGCTCAGACTCATCATCAGCTCCTCTCTTTCATCAACTCAAAGTTTCTTGAGAAACTAGGAGACATTACACAAACATGTGGGATTCCATTATCTGTTTCATTTGCTTTTACTCATGAACAAAACCATATCACCCCAAGACATGTGTCATACTTTTTCAACCCTGAAGATCTTAAGATATCTTGAGTGATTGGAATTTCAAGGTTGAGAATGCCATTTAACTACAGGGTGGCAATTCTTCCAGAAATCTTACCTTGGTCTCAATGTTATGAGCTCATTTCAACTTCAAAATAAGGATCCAATTTACTGAGACAACAGAAGCACACTTGAGTAATTAGGTGACTGGCTGTGGTTACCTTTAGGTAAGGAGCGTCCATCAGGGAAGGTGACAGGTGTGTTGAGCTCTCGACTCACACTTGGTACTGGTGGGTAGAGCCTCAGGGCCTCCTTGATGCACATGGTAGTGTAGGGCATCTGGTCCAGGTGATCCCTGAAAGAAAACCCATCCTGAAAAATCACACAGAGCTGGGAAGACCAGAAAAAAACATAATCCTAAGCAAGGCAGGCCAGGCCCCCAGTCATCTGCTTGAGGTGAGTGTGGGCTCTTCTCAGGCCCAAATCCCACCATCTTCCCTTTGGAACTTCCTGGATCTGCTCCTAGTGTACTGGACCTGCCCCTGTGGGACAGACCACCTGGAGTCTGGCTACATCTCAGTCTTGACCACCCCTATACCCTCTACTCTCTGCTTGAGGTGAATGTGGGCTCTGCTCAGGCCCAACTCTCACCATCCCCCCCTTGGACTTTGCTGGGTCTGCACCTTGTGTAGTGGACCCACCCCTGCAGGATGGACCACCTGGAGTCTGCCCACACCTCAGTCTTGGGCCCCTATGCCCTCCACCATCCTCCCTCCACTTGATTCTTCCCCCCATGCCCTCCACCCTCCATTTGAATCTTGCCCCCCCACACCCTCCACCCTCCACTTGAGTCTTGGCACCCCATGCCCTCCACTTGAATGAGGAGAACACCAAGAGAGGTCAGAACTTCCAGAGTTTCCAACATTGAAGTCTTGGTCCACCTGGACTTGAAAGGAGAGGGAGGGACCCCACCTGCATCAACTTGAAGAAGAGGGAAGACAAGAGTATAAGAACATACTCAACAATAGAAAGAACAATATGTCACCACCAGAATCTAGGTACTCTACACAAGCAAGACCTGAACATTACAACACAAATGAAGCAGAAGAGACGGAACTCAAAAAGAACTTTATGAAGATAGAAATCTCAAAGAACAAATGAGAAAACCCTTTAAAGTAATGGAGGAAAAGACAAAATGAAAATTCAAGAAATAAAAAAATCGCTTAAAGAATGCAAAGAAAGCCATGCAAAAACAACCAAACAAGTGAAGGAAATAATTCAAACAGTTCAAGGCTTGAAAGCTGAAATAAAAACAATAAAGAGGAGATGCTGGAAATAGAAAAGCTGGGTAAATGATCAGGAACTACACATGTAAGTATAACCAATAGAATACAAGAGATGAAAGAGAGAATCTCAGGTGTTGAGGAAATACAGTCATCAACCAGAGAAAATCTCAAAGTCCAACACATTCCTAACACAAAATATCCAGGAAATATGGGACACCATGAAAAGCCCAAACCTAAGAATCATAGGTATAGAAGAATGTGAAGAAATACAGCTCAAGGGTACAGAAAACATATTCAACAAAATCATAGAAGAAAACTTCCCCAATCTAAAGAAAGATATGCCTATGAAAGTACAAGAAGCTTACAGAACAACAAATAGACTGAGCCACAAAAAGAATCCCCCTTGCCGCATAATAATCAAAGCACCAAATTTACAGAATAAAGAAAAAAAAACAACAGACAGCAGCAAAGGAGAAAGGTCAAGTAACATATAAGGCAGATTTATGAGAATTACACCTGACTTCTCAATGAAAACTCTGAAAGCCAGAGGTCCTGGATAGATGTTCTACAAATGCTAACAGAACAAGACTGCCAGCCAAAACTAAAATACCCAACAAAGATTTCAATCACTATAGATGGAGAAAACAAGATATTCCATGACACAACTGAATTTAAACAATAAGTATTCACAAGTCATTTCCTACAGAAAATGTTGGAAGTAAAATGCTAACCCAAGGAAGATAACTACACTCACAAAAACATAGGCAATAGATAATCCCACTTTACCAAACACCAAAAGAAAAAAAGGGAGTGGTTATCTACATACAATACCACCACCAACAACAAATCAAAAACAAACAAGAATAAACAATCAACCTGGTCACTAGTATCTTTCAATGCCAATGGTCTTAACTTGACTATAAAAAGACACACGCTAACAGAATGGATATGAAGACAGAATCCAACCTTCCACTGCATACAAGAAACACATCTCAACATCAAAGACAGACATTACCTCAGATCAATGAGGTAATGATTTGAGAAAAGATTTTCCAATCAAATGGAGCCAAGAAACAAGTGGGGGTAGCAATGATAATATCTAAAAAACTAGACTTCAAACTAAAATCAATCAAAAGAGATGAATAAGGTCATTTCATATTCATTACAGGAAAAATCCATCAAGATGAAGTCTCAATTCTAAACATCTATTCCCCAAATACAGAGGCACATTCGTAAAAGAAACATTACTAAAGCTCAAATCACACAGAAAACCTCACACACTATAGTGGGAGACTTCAACACCCCAATCTCATGACTAGATAGGACTACCAGACAGAAACTGAACAAAGAAATAAAGGAACTAACAGAAGTTATGACCCAATTGGGATTAACAGACACCTATAGAACATTCCATCCAAACACAAAAGAATGTAACTTCTTCTCAGTAACACAGGGAATCTTCTCTGAAATAGACCACATATTTGGTAACACAGCAAACCACCACAGGTACAAAAAAATTGAAATAACCCCCTGTATCCTATTGGATCACCATGGTTTAAAGTTCGATTTCAATAGCAACACAAATTGCAGAAACCCTACAAACTCATGAAAATTGAACAATGCACAATTGCACCACCCTGGGACAAGGAAGAAATAAAAAAGAAATTAAAGACTTCCTAGAATTCAATGAGAATAAAGTCACAACATATCCAAACTTATGGGATACTTTGAAAGCAGTGTTAAGAAGAAAGTTCATAGCACTAAGTGCCCACATGAAGAAATTGGAGAATAGTCACACTAGAGAATTAATAACACAACTGAAAGATCTAGAACAAAAAGAAGCAAACTCACCCCAGAGGAGTAGACATCAGGAAAAAATCAAATTAAGGACTAAAATCAATAAAGTAGAAACAAATAAAACAATACAAAGAATCAATGAAACGGTTGGTTCTTTTAGAAAATCAACAAGATAGACAAAACCTTTATCCAAATTAACCAAAAGGCAGAGAGAGCATGCTAATTTACAAAATCAGAAATGGAAAGGGGCCATAACAACAGACACTGAGGAAATCCAGAGAATCTTCAGGTCATACTTTGAAAACCTGTACTCCAGAAAATTCAAAATTTAAAGGAAATGGACTATTTTTCTGGATAGATATCACTGATCAAAATCAAATAAAGAACAAAAGCAATTTAATAGACCTATAACCCCTAATTGATGAGGAAGTCCTGTGTATATGTCAATAAAGCACTGTTGGCCAATAGGAAAGCAAGATAGGTAGAACTAGGAGTCCAGGAGGACTCTGGGTAAGAGAAACACAGGGAGTCAAGATGTAACCACCATAGGGATAAGAAGCCTGGAAACTTCTCCAGTAAGAGAAATACTTAGATTAACAATTATGGGGTAAATACTTAAGTCAGAGCTAGCCAGTAAGAAACAAGCAAGGCCAACAGCTTCATAATTAATATAGCCTCCTGTGTGTTACTTGGGGACTACAACTTGGAAGAGCCCAGGCGACTGGTGGAGAAAAAACAAAGCAGCTGATGAGGAAAAGGTACTCTCTACAAATTCAGGAGCGGTATTGAATTTCCACGTAGAATGGCAAAAGCTTTAAAGGAATTTTAGAAACAAAAGAACGGAGAAAAGCATGGGTTCTTGGTAGCCGTATTTTTCTCAGGTGGGCTCTGTTTTGCTAGCAACAGGCAGAAACTCACGTGGCTCGCTTAAGAGAGTCTTCCTGACTCAGCATAAGCAAAAAAAAACAAAAACAAAAACAAAACAAAACAAAAAAACAGCAAGGTTCTTTTAAGAGGCTCTGCTAACAATTGAAAGGTGTGTACGTACAGCTGTAAGTGGCAGTGACCACATCTCCAAGCATAGACTGAGGCAATGAGCTGGAATCACACTTATGCCTGCCATCTTAGAAAAACTGCAGTTTAAACAGCCACGGTTTTAACAGATAAGACATGTGGCCAGAAAAACAGAAAGATTTACAGTAAAGTCAGACTTGGATGAAGAAAAACCTCTAAGGGTTTACAGTGTGTTTAAAAATATACACAAGACTGAGAGAGAAAAAGAAATGGCATAGTGGTAAATAGAGAATCCGACTGTGGTGGCGCACGCCGGTAGGAATTGTTCCAGAGGCAGAGGCAGGCAGATTTCCAAAGAGAAACCCTGTCTCAGAGAAAAATAAATAAAAGTAAAAAATAGAGTAATAATAATAGATAAATAAGCCATTTAAAGATGGAAAATACACAGAGAGTCTGGAAACTGTATGCTATTGTGTTTTTCAGTTTTTAGATTGCTAAGGAAGGAACAACTACTAAAGTACACTTGATTATAAATGCTGCTGAATTAATTCAACTTATATCTTTTAAAAATGCCTTGACTTCAAAATTTAAGTATAAGGACTGCAACGCGGCAGAACCCAGGCAACTGGTGGGGAAAAATCAAGTGGCTGACAAGGAAAAGGAACTCTCTACATGTAATGAAATAGAAGTTGTCATCAAATATCTCCCAGCCCAAAATAGCACAGGGCCAGATGGTTTCAGTGCAGAATTCTACCAGAAATTCTAAGAAGAGATAATACCAGTGCTCTTTAAAATGTTCCTGACAACAGAAGCAGAAGGGATATTGCCAAACTCGTTTAACAAGGCTACAATTACCTTGGTACCAAAGCCACACAAAGAAACAATTAAGAAAGAGATCTACAGACCAATATCTCTCATGAACATCGATGCAAAAATACTCAACAAAATACTGGCAAATCGAATCCAAGAACACATCAGAAAAATCATCCACCATTATCAAGTAGGCTTCATTCCAGAGATGCAGGGATGGTTCAACATATGAAAATCCATCAATATAATCCACCATATAAACAAACTGCAAAAGAAAACCACATGATCGTCTTACTAAGTACTAAAAAAGCCTTTGACAAAATCCAATACCCCTTCATGATAAGGTCTTAGAGAGATCAGGGATAACATATCTGAACATAATAAAAGCAATATAGAGCAAACCAACAGCCAACATCAAACTAAATGTACAGAAACTCAACAAGGTTCCTCTAAAATCAGGAACAAGACAAGGCTGTCCACTCTCTCCACATCTCTCCAATATTGTACTTGAAGTTCTAGCTGGAGCAATTAAACAACAAAAGAAGACTAAGGTGATACAAATTGGAAAGAAAGAAGTCAAGCTATTTGCAGATGATTTGAGAGTTTACATAAGTAACCCAAAAAACTCTACCAGGGAACCCCTACAGCTGATAAATACCATCAGCAAAGTGGCAGGATACAAGATTAACTAAAAAAAACAGTAGCCTATATATAGTAGATACATGGGCTCAGAAAGAAATCAGAGAAACATCACCCTTTTCAATAGCCACAAACAACATAAAATATCTTTTGGTGATGCTAAACGAACAAGTGAAAGACCTGTATAGCAAGAACTTTGAGTCTTTAAAGAAAGAAATTAAAGAAGATATCAGAAAATGGAAAGATCTCCCATGCTCTTGGATAGGTAGGATCAACGTGGTAAAAATGGCAATCTTGCCAAAAGCAGTCTACAGATTCAATGCAATCCCCATCAAAATCCCAGCACAATTATTCATAGACCTTGAAAGAACAATACTCAACTTTATATGAAAAAAATCAGGATAGATTAACAACTCCAAAATAAAGGAACTTCCGGAGGCATCACCATCCCTGACTTCAAGCTCTGTTATAGATTTATAGTCCTGAAAACAGCTTTGTATTGGCACAAAAATAGACAGATAGACCAATGGAATCAAATTGAAGGCCCTGATATTAACCCACACACCTATGAACACATGATCTTTGACAAAGAGGATAAAGCTATACAATGGAAAAAAGAAAGCATCTTTAACAAATGGTGCTGGCATAACTGAATGCTGGATGTAGAAGATTGCATATAAATCCATATCTATCACCATGCACAAAATTTAAGTCCAAGTGGCTCAAACACCTCAACAAAAATCCAGCCACACTGATCCTCTTAGAAGACAAAGTAGGAGGTATCTTTGAATGAATTGATACAGGAGACTGCTTCCTGAACATAACACCAGTAGCACAGACACTGAGATTGACAATTAATACATGGGACCGCCTGAAACTGAGAAGCTTCTGTAAGGCAAAGGACACAGTCAACAAGACAAAAAGGCAGCCCACAAAATGGGAAAAGATCTTCACCAACCCTATACCTGACAGATGGCTAATTTCCAAAATATACAATGAACTCAAGAAGCTAGCCACCAAACCACCAAACAATCCAATTAAAAAGTCGGGTACAGAACTAAATATAGAATTCTCAATAGAAGAACCTAAAATGGCTGAAAGCCACTGAAGAAAGTGTTCAACATCCCTAGCTATCAGGGAAATGCAACTCAAAACAACTCTGAGATACCATCTTACACCAGCCAAAATGGCTGAAAACAAAACCACCAATAACAGTCTATGCTGGAAAGGATATGGAGAAAGAGAAGTGCAAACTTGTGCGGCCACTTTAGAAATCAGTATGGCAGTTTCTCAAGAAAATGAGAATCAGTCTACCTCAAGAACCAGCAATTCCACTCTTGGGAAGATACCCAAAATATGCACATAAATACAACAAGGACACATATTCAAGTATGTTCATAGCAGCATTGTTTGTAAGAGCCAGAATGTGGAAGCAACCTGGATGCCCCTCAACTAAAAAATGGATGGAGAAAATGTGGTACATTTACACAATAGAGTGTTACTCAGTGGAAAAAAACAATGGAATCTTGAAATTCCCAGTCAAATGGATGGAACTGGAAGAAAACATCCTGAGTGAGGTAACCCAATCACAGAAAGACAAACAAGGTATGTACTCACTCATATATGGATATTAGATATAGAGCAATAGTCTACAATCCACACCACCAGAGAAACTAGGAAACAAGGAGGCCCCTAAGAGAGAAACACATGGTAACCCAAAGAAGGGGAAAGGAGAAAAAAACCCTGAGTAAATTGGGAGCATGAGAGGAAAGGGGAGGGAAGTAGGATAAAGAGAAGAGGAGAAGAGGAGGGGGAAGGAAAACAAGAGAGATCAGGAAGACTGAGTCGGGAGGAATAGAGGAGAGCAAGAAAAGAGATACCTTAATAGAGGGAGCCAGTATATGTTTAAATAGAAATCTGGCACTAGGGAAACGTTCAGAGATCCACAAGGATGACCCCAACTAAGAATCTTAGACAATAGTGGAGAGGTGGCCTTTGATGTCCTTCCCCAATAATGAGATTGATGGTTACCTTAATTGCCATCCTAGAGCCGTCATCCAGTAGCTTATCTAAGCAGAAGCAGGCACCCACAACTAAACACTGAGCCATACTTCCAGAATCCAGTTTTAGAGAGGGAGGAGGGATGAGCAAAGGAGCAAAGACCATGCTGGAGAAACTTACAGAAACAGTTGCCCTGACCTAGTAAGAGGACAGAGATCCCAGTCGTAAAGTTGGGGAACCAGCATTGGACTGAACCAAGCCCTCTGAATGTGGGTGCCAGCTAGGAGGCCTGGGCAGACTATGGGACCTCTAATAGTGGAGCCAGTGTTTATCCCTAGTGAACAAATGGACTTTGGGAGCCCATTCTCTATGGAGGGATACAATACAGCCCCGATACACAAAAGAGGACCTAGTCCCTCCCCCAAATGATGTGACAGACTTTGATGGTCCCCCATGGAAGGCCTCACTATCCTTGGGGAGTGGGTAGGGGGTGGGTTGAGGAGTCAGTGGGGGGAATGGGAGGATGTGGGAAAGTGAGGGAATCAGGATTGAAATGTAAAATAAGATTGTTTCTAAAATTTAAAAAAAATGAAAGAAAAAAGATCCACAGCCAAACATTACATGACCCCAGAATACTCCAAAGAAGAAGGGAAGGAAGGATTTTAGAAGCCAGAGGAATCAAGGACACCACAAGAACATGGACCACAGAATCAACTAAGCAGGACTCATAGGAGCTCACAGAGACTGAAGCAGCAACTATAGAACCTGCATGGGTCTACGATAGGCCTTCTATATACATGCTGTGGTTGCTTGATTTAGGGGTATTTTGACTACTAGCAGAGGAAATTGGGTGTGTCTGACTCTTTTGCATACTCTTGAGACCCTTTTCCTCTTACTGGGTTATGTGGTCCAGACTTGATCTGAGAGTTTGTGTCTAGTCTTATTGCATCTTCTTATGTAGTGTTTGATTGATATCACTGGGAGTCCTGCTATTTCCTGAAGGGAAATGGATGATGAGTGGATGTGGGGGAGAGGAAGGTAGGCAGGGGACAGGAAGTAGAGAAGGAGGGGAGGCTGCAGTCAGGATGTATTGTGTGAGAAAAGAATAAAGAAAAAGAAAACCATTTTTAAAAACATCTCTTGTACAAGAAGGCAGGGATCTCCTTAATCTTGAGTTTTCTCACCAGGTGACAGAGGTTCCATCTCCCAGGATGCTCTGTACCTCTTCCCTGCATCTCTGTTGGTATTCAGGGTGTGTGGCCAGAGCATAAAAAATCCAGGATATTCCACTGGCTGTGGTATCATGACCTTCAAACATGAATGTATCTACCTCTGCACGCAAGTCCTCATCAGACAAGCTGTTCCCATCTTCCATCTGAGTGAATGAACAGGTAAGAGAGCAGAGTTTGTATCTAATCTGTGCTTCTGAGCCAAACCTCAGCCATGAACCCCACTCACTTTGGCAAACAAGAGGATGTCCAAAAAATCCAAGCGCCTCTTCTTTCTGACCTTCTCCAGCTCTTCCTCATTCTGCAGCTGAGCCTTCCTCATCTTGATCACTCCATCTGCCCCATGATAGCATTTGTCAGATGGATCCCAGAGCTATTGTAATTCACAGGATCCCGCAACTCAATTTGTACGTCCTATGGATCCCAGGATGTATGTGCAGGTGGGAATTTGGTCATGATTTGTGTCTGCACAATCCCATAAACCTCAAGCCTCTAATCAAGATCATGGGCCACAGAGTCACATTAAAGGTTGTTGGGTGACTCTCATGCAATGTCACCAATGCAATGTAATGAAACTGGTAATGCTTGTAATGTACCTCATTTGCTAACATCCTAGTTCCCAAAATTTGTATCTTAGTAGTAACTAACTTGAGTGTCTCAGGTCCTACAGAGGCTTCTGGTAAATTTGTTGCATCTGAGATGTAAGATCATGTCTTTGGGAAGAGCCTGATAAAGGAAGGAGGTGGGAAGGCAGAACCTGTGTGTTCATGAGCAAGCTGGCAGGCACGGTGGAACAAACGGCCATCAGAAGACATTTTGTAGATGGCATTATTTGCATAAAAGACACTCCTCGCTCGAAAGAAAGTAAGGCTATTCAGATCCTCAACAGCCTTAGTGTAGGACCTGGATTTTCTGGGGATAGGAGATAAAATATACTGGTTATTGGAGTGTCCGATCCAAGAATAGAGTAGGCTCTATAGTCGTTCTTTCAACTGTGGGACACACAGCATGAAGGTACACATAATTTCCTATTTATAGGTTTTTTAATCCTTGATACTTCAGAAAATGAGCTTCTACACTTGCTAGGGTTCTATTTTGCCTTGTAGGGACTGGTTTGAAAAGAGGTTGGCCAAATGCTGGGTGAGAATCCTGCTTTCTGTGGAGGCTACTGTTTTTGCTGACCCACTTACCTCTTAATAAGCCCTTACAGATTGGTAAAACCAAACTTGAAAGTGTCACTCACTCATCCAATTGGGCACTGCCCTGGTGACTGAAAGCACACTTCATAACAGTGTCTAGTGTCATCAAGGAGATATATTGAAAGATCTCCAGAGAGCACTTCTGGACATCAAGCTTCTCCCATCTGTCCTGTAGTGAGAATGAGACAATTACTTATTTTGTTCGGAATACCTGTGTTTATACAAAGAATTTTCTGTTTCTCTATGGAAAATCAGTCTGGAGTCCCTTGCTATTAAGAGTGTATGCTTATAGCAAATTAAAAGCACAAAGCAAATATTTGTAATCTGAGGCCTTCTTTACCAAACCATTTAACAAAATAACATATTTTCTTAAGTGTCTAATTATTGCCTGTTTGTTTTTTAGAAAAAAGTATCATCTTTCAATTAATGAAAATGGCCCCTTTGGTTTCCTGAGAATGAACTAGAGTTAAAAAATGAGTGTAGACACCAATATAGAAATAAAACACGTGAAGGAAAGGAAGGTGTGGGCCTGAATGAACATGCCTCACGAGTCTTGTTAGTGGGTTTAATTCCATTTCACTTGCCAAAAGTTTGCTGAATACAGTGAGGCTAGAAATCAGGGCCTAATAGGAAGGAATGATATCTCAGAGATGAATGAGGATGTGGACCTTGTGACTATTTTGCTTGTGGGTCACTCTAGTTCATGCAGAAGCCCTGGGGTACAAGACATTCTTGTCTTACAACATCTTGAAGCTACCACTGTCCAGTCCAGCCAGAGACAAGAAGTCTACTGTAAGGTGTCTTATCCACTGTGGTAAACACTCACACCACAATGTCATCTTCATGACTTGGAGCTCTCTAATTTATGCATTTATGCATTTGTGAAATACTCAATTTACAGCAATAACATCAGTTATTAGTCTATCTGACTGTATGAAACTGGCTTGAAAGTGGGGTCATTGTGAGTGAATGTAATGAAAACAGAAGGAAACAGATCAACTTACTAGCATTGTGTTGACAGAGTCCGCCATGATTCTGACATAGGGTTTGAGGATGTCATAGTGGAAGGCTGGGGTCAACATCCTCCGGTGCTGGAACCACTTCTTCCCATTCAGCAGAAGCAAACCGTAACCTGGGCCAGAGACTGGAGTGTGAATGTCTGATAGAAGTGGGATCAAGGGACACCCTGAGATCATTATTTGAATTCATTGGAATAAGGAAGGAAAATTCCAGTAACGGTGAGATTTCTTAGACAAAAAATAGAAACTGGGACTCCAAGTTTGTCTGACAAATCTTCTGTGACTAGGAAAGAAGCAAGATAAAGGATGAAAATGTGTTGGGATCAGGTCAAGAGGGGCATATATAGATGTCTGGCCATGAGTGTCTGAAGAAATGATGTGGCAGCAACTGGATATCATGCACACTTACACCAGCATGAGGAGGACTAAGGACTGACTAGAAGCAGAGAAATAAAGCCTTGTTTAGGCATGGATTCTGATTCTTGTTACCAGGCACCTGTTGTTCTCCATTAGCCAAAGGGCAGTCAGGAAAGCACATTGTTTATTTTCATATACTTACCAATCCAGGGAGCAAAGAGTCTATAAATTCTGGAAGCCTTTGGATCTGAAAAGTGACACAGATTTTGAGGACCAGATAAAGGAGCTGATGCAACTTTTATGAATTCTTTAGTTTTTCAGAATTTTAAAACTTAGTGTGTGTGTGTGTGTGTGTGTGTGTGTGTGTGTGTGTGTGTGTGTGTGCGCGCGCACCTATATAGTGTTTGCATGGAGTTCAGAATACAAAGTGGAGTTGGTTCATCTCACTTTCAGATCATCAGCCTTTGACAGCAAACTCCTTGACCAGCTCAGTCATTTTAGCAACCATGTCACTAGTTCTTGGTAGATTCTGCTGGCAGTTTGTTCCCTGTCACTGCTCACCGCCTCTCATTCCTTTCTGTCTTTGTCTTGCCAGTTATCTGGGCTTAGGGAGACAAACTTCACTGTACCAGCAACTGAATGTCCCTGTCACCATGATGTTTAAAAAAAACATCTCAAAGCCAAAGAATAACAAAACGGTGTGTTTTTTTTTCTATTTTGGGCTGTGGCTTAGTAATCTTATGACCCAGGTAAGTAAACTATTAGAGGTTTCAAATCCAAGCCTCTGGATATAAAATTTGGTCTTTATCTATAGGGAAATTTGTAAAGCACATCAACTCAATTTTCTAAAGAGAAAAATAAAATAAAAAGAATTTCAACCCTGTTCAGATATTTTTAAGTGTTAAGAACTATATGCTAGTCATATGTTGGACTCTGGAGAGGGAGAATGGTAGTAGGTACTATTTAGGCATTGGTGGCTGAAAGGTCTATCTTTTCTAAAATTTCAGTCTTGGGGCATGAAGGTTGGATGGCAGACATGCTACAGCTGCAGTGAAGCTGGACTCTCACCTGATCTCCCTAGAATCAACTTCACATAGTCAGGGTCATAGAGCAGGACTCGTACATTGCTCCCTGAGATCCACTGTAAGCAGGCACTGGGGAATTTCTCCACCCATGTAAGAATCTGCTCGAGGTCCTTGTCCTTTCAGAAAAGACACCAGGATAAAGACAAATTAATGAAAATGTTCTTTGACATCTAGTACTCTGTGTGGTATGGGAACAGCTGAACCATTAAGGGACATAGCTCTGGAATGTTCAGAAAAAGAAATTTGGGTCAGTTGGCAATCATCTTTTCTTTCATCCAGGCCTTTTCTGTGTCCAAGAACTTGCCCTGGCCATAACCTGAAGTCTTATTGGATGGAGTTAATGCTCCTTAGAGAAGTTATAGGGTTAACAGCCTCAGCATTCTGTAGAAGCTCTAAATTTATCTATTCTTAGATGTGGAAGCTGCATGGTACTCACTGAGAGCCTCTTCATGCAGCCCCTTAAAAACTGCACTCTAGTGAAGGACAGTAGCACAGTTAGCCATGTGTACTGCTTATACACACTTGGGGATAGAGGAGGCTAATGAATCCAGGCAGTTTCAGAGACTTCATGAAGTCTTTGAGTTGTTTGTTCCCTGAACTTAAGGAACTATTCTGCAGTATGGAATATTTTACCTCCCCATAAACTTTCAGTAGTGTAAGGGGCTTCATTCCTGAATGGGAGGTTTTGTCTCTCTTTAGAACGTCTTGTATTGTAATCACAAGATTCCCTCCAAAATGATCAGTTTCAATCTCAGGGGAAATTTGTGCCACTGAATCATCACTTCTATCAAGTTCTGTCAGTCTTGACAAACCTAGATAGTTGTTCTCTATATCTGACATCACTCACACATTCCATTAGGATAGGCTGTTTTCCCATGCTCTTGTGTATCCTGAGATTGGAGTCTGTTGTCAACATGGATTTCCCTAAAAAGATGTGTGCTCCCTATGATTAAGTCAAGTTCACTCTTAGAAGTAAACTCAGTGTTCCTCAGAAACCACACACTCTTCACACTGCAAACTGCCCCATGGACTGAAACTCAACGATCAGAGCTCCAGGTTCTCATGTTCTTCCACCCCTCCCTCATCCCTACCTTCAGTTGGTGCCCCCAAAGCCAATGGGAAGGCGTGGATGGGAAGGTCTGGAGGGTTTTGAGCAGCCACTGTCTTCTTAAGTAGAATTGGACTGCCTTGAAAAGCACCAAAATTAGGCTGATCACGAAGACCACTTGGAAGAACCCAGAGACACCACCCAAGTTTCTGGTGAGGCTAAGCAAAGAGAAACCCATGGTAAGTGGCTTCTGGATCACTGGTGTCACTAAATCTCTGGAACACCCACATTTAAGTCATGAGAAAGTTGATCTGCCTATTTGTGGGAGGGAGAATGGAGAGAGGACAGACAGGGATTGACCTCAGGGTCTAAAGTTTATTAACCTGAAACATTTACCTTGGGAAACAGTGAACACAAAGCCTTAGCAACTGATCTTGGTAGTAGCTATGCATACACCCACCTTCTTGTCTCTCTACTGCTCACAAATATTTACTGCACACCTATTATGTGTTATCTAATATACTAATTGATGAGGTAGAGATATAAAATAGACACAATTATCCTTGATATTCAGAGATTATATTATAATTTACCAAATATTTAATAGGTGTAGTTGCTTGTACTATTTTGTAACATGAAGATGAAAGTGCCAGCAAGGGTTAGGTTTAGGGAACATGGGAGGATGGGAGGGCAATGGAATGGGGGAATTGATGTGTAAAATAAGATTGTTTCTAAAATTTAAAAAAAGTGCTATCAAGGAGGAAATTCTTGTGTTTAGATAAATGTAGTTGCTGAGAGTTTCTACACATAGAGATCTTTGCACTGGACTCCAATTCAGCTGTTTCTGACATTTTACCGAGAGCTTTTCCTAACCCCTCTCAAGTTATGATGTGCCAATGGGTGGAACACTGCAGCTGCATTCAGGAGTCTTAAGACCCAGGATTGCCTAACCACATGTGTGTCTTCCTGTGCCTCAGTATCTTGGCTAGGTCGGATAATAATAACTCAGTATCTTGATTGTGTAGAATTATAGTACCTTTTCCAAATACTTAAAATGCCCACCACCTTTTCAGTTATTTTTTAATTCATGAAATATTTCTTGAGATCAGGTTGGATAAATTCTAAAAATGAAACCAGTGCAATGATACATGTTATGACTTGCCTGAAAAAATTAAATGCCTACTCAGGATTAATAAATCAGAAATAAAAATATGAGTTCTCAAAGAATTATTAGCCCATCAACTGAACAGTTCTGATATATATATATGTATACATATATTTATGATTTATTAAAGCTTGCCTGAGGATGCAGAAAGCAAAGTCAGCCACAGGCGATAGAAGTCAGGCGCACACCTTTTATCCCTGCAGCCAAAAGCTGGTACATTCATTTAATCCTAGGACTCTGGATTAAGAGATGGATCTTAAATTGAAGGCCACCCAGAAATACACAGGAGTGAATCAGTCTAAAAGAGAATTATACCTCACACCTTTAATCCCAACAGTAGGAGAGTATATAAGACAGAAGCATGGCCTCAGGGAGGTTTTTCATTCTTCATACACAATGAGGGGAGGCAGCAATTTGAGACTTGGTGAAGAGCTGGTGCGCTTTCAGCCTGAGCTAGAGGTGAGAGTTAGTGGCCTTCTACTTTGCTTTTCTGATATTCAGCTTGAAGTTTGATTCCCAATATCAGTCTCTGGATCATTTATTTTTCGTGTTACAAAATTTATGGAGATTATACTTAAGCAAACAGGGGATGTTTGGTTTTGAGCCCGCTGTTAAGATGAAGTTGGGTGGGTAAAATATTAGGGAGGATCTGGTAGGAGTTGGGGAAGAGAAATAATATGACCAAATATATCATATTAAAAATTAAATGAAAACAAATTTTAAAAGTGGCATGAGTTTAAAAAGAAACAAAGAGGATGGGGGACAGACATGAGCCCTTCTTTGGGGTCCTTATCCTCACTTTGATTATGATTATCTTCTCTAAATCAACTCAAGTTGTGACAAATCCAGAGAGTCATACACAAAAGATATTTCAACAAGAGATTATAGGAATCCAGCTAGTAAGTCTTTCAGGAATACCTGTTTGCCACTAACCTGGTCCCTCGCCTACCAAATGTTTTCTTGAACACACTCCTACTTTGTCTTTCCCTGTGACATGACATGCATTATATAACCCGAATAATTTCTTTCCTTTTAAAACCCTGAACTCTTGTCAAAACTAAATAGAGGACATTCAACTATTCACATTTCATTTGTCTGAACTTTTACCTACTTTGTTATTTTGCAACTTCAAATATTTGTCGAATGAGCAAATGATTGAAAGATCAAGGCATGATGTGAATAGTTAACAGAGAAATTATGATCCTGTCATAGTGAAAGAGTCACCTTATACCCTTATTCCTTTCCTACTTGGATCACCTCCTACTCTTCACTCACAGAATTGGTGACTGTAGTAGAAAGAGCTTTGGTGTACAAGATTACTATTGAATTTTAGTTTTGACTTCTTCCTACTCTGAATCAGAATTCTTTATAATTTGACTCATATTGTTGCACCCTGTCCATGTGCACCACGAGGAAGGAGAAAGACAACACTTAGATATATGTTCTTTAAAGCAATCTCTATTAGTTTGAATACACCTTAAGCAAGGAGAGACATTCTGTAAGTCAGTGATTTTTAACTTTTTGTGGCCACCCTAGGCTACTCCTGCAAAAAGTTCTTTTGATCCCACAGGGGCATGAACCATAGGTTGAGAAACTGTTCCAGGCTCTTTACCAGACTGTTTAAGGTCACCGTCTTACTGAGGAATATCCCAGTGTGTGTTGCTTAGAAATGTGGTCCTAACTTTAGTTGGTCAGTGACTACACAGAGTCTGAGATTCCAGTGTCATGCTGACCCTTTCTCGGGGTGAGCCTCTAAACATAAAACCATGTTTCGGGTTGACATATTTCAGTTGACAAAAACAGTTAGTCAGAAGCAGAGTTGAAGGTGTTAAAAAAGGATGATTACTGCATTTGAATGCTTACCCAGAATTATAGATGTTGATGTATTAGGTCTTTGTTTTAATATTACCTAAATAGCCTTCTGATTATTAACCCTGGGCTAAAGTTTTGAGTTAATATTCTTCCTTTTTTACAGATGTTACAGATTTTTAACCATCTCCAGTAATTTATAAAATGTTCTGCTTAGCTGTTCTTAGCTGCTCTGCTCTTGCTCTTCCCAGTTTTTGACCCGGGACATAGACTTTAAAAACATGTCTGAGCTATAGAGATTATCCTGGGTAATGGAGTGGGGATTGGGTGGGGGGGCTGTGGGGGCCAGGGGGGGGAATTGGGCATGGAAGGGAGGTAGAGGGAGCTGGGGCTTACATGGGAAGCAAGCTTGTTTCTAATTCAAATATATAATGAAAACGTGTAAAAAAATGATTGGTTGCCTAGATCGAACCAGATGAGGTCACTGCATGAACAGCTTGTGTTCAGTAGATAAAGCATAGGATGCCTATGTGTGTCATAGGCTAACCTTTAAAACCATTGGTTGATTATTTTCCTGCTGTGCAGTGCTTTGTTTGCTATGGGATAATAAAAGAGTTCTTGCTTGAAAAAAAATTAAAAATTAAAAACATGTCTGGGTCTGAAAAAAGAGTGGGCCATAGCCCAATCCCACAGCCAGCCTTTCAATAAAGTAGAATAGCATAAAACTTTAATATTATTCGTATCCAATTGACATCTGTATCCCTATTACATTAGTTTCAGTGGTCAGAAAACCCAGAGACACATTCTGAGTTCAGGCAGCTGACTGCAACTGTAACAGCTGAACTGTAACCAAGACACACGGAACATAGTAAACTCATACATTTAAGTCCAGTCAGGAATAGATTTGCAGTGTCTACATTCATACATTCAAAACAGTCAGAACTCTCCTTACTTCCTCCAGCTTGTAATTCTAAGATCCAGCTACCTGCAGATCTAATTCTCAAGGGTACCAGAGAAAGCTACCCACCAGCCTAAGTACTGTGTTTGGTACCCACTCAATGTCATTGAATTATTTCAGCTTATAACTCTGGTCTTTCTTGGCTGCTGGTGGCATGTCAGAGGAGCAGCAGACAGCAACTGAAGTTTGGGGGTTGGTCCACCAGGAAGCAAAGTTCTCATGGGGGAATCTCAGATAAGCAAGGCCCTAAGGGCTTCGGCCCCAGAATGTCTCTAGTTACTGATGTGCCTTTCCATGTTTGTCACCACCATTTTTCTCTGGTATCTGGCATGATGTGAATGGGTGTGGGGGAGATTCCCACTTCCTTTAATGTAGCATAATTACCTCATGAAAACAGCCCATTCTATTGAGCCTTTTTCCTGTGGGTATTATGAAGATGATTTCTTTCTAAGCTGTACTGTTTAACTGAAATGAGATTTTATACAAGGATAGTGCTACTTTAAAAAGGATTTTGATGATTGAAGGTATTTAATAACTATAGTAAGATATTATTATAGATGTTAGATTAATGGTAAAATTAATATAGGTAAAAGCAAGATATGGTGTTGTCCCCAGTCTTGATAAAGCAGGAGTTGCAGAGGATAGAAAATAAGAACAAAGAGAAATCACACAGCTAGTCTCTGTTGAGGAGGCATGTAGACTGTGGCTTAGATTTATGATTAAGAAAAGTGATTGAGTTGCAGAAGTCCAGCGAGCTCAAATGTTGGGAAATAGCTTCTCAGGTTTTGGTGTGCATCACAGCTAGAACAAAGCATTAGTCTGAAGTTCTCTTTCTTATTTGTGTGACTTGAGGTTATCTTAATATTTTTTGCTAATGATTTTGAGGTAAAAAAAATACTGGAAAGCAATTTAAAGGCATACTTTTAATACCTGAGTGAAGTACTCATTGAGGTCAGGGAGTAGGAACAATGTTAGACTCACTATTGCCAGTTGATGTTATTGTTTTGCTAAGATGGGTTGGTGACCAAAGGTCATGATTAATTTGTTGTACCCATTTCTGATCTTAGCTTCCCAATAGAAAACATGCTGATGAATGGTTGTGTACCCTGAGGATTTAAAGCAGAGATAACTGATTGTTTTTCATATATAAAAGTTTAGATTTGTGATTCTATTAAGGTTTCTTAGGTATAAATAATAAAATATTTGGTCCTTTCCTTGTAACTGCCTACCAGCAAAAGAACTGGCTTTGAAAAATGCCTTCCTTGCTTATACTCTTAATCTATCATAAATTACTTGGGTATGAATGTATGTGGGTTCTTAGAACAACTTGTTTTTCAACTGTAATACATAAAATGTTTAATCATGTAAGGGATATGGAGAACATGTTTT